TGAGACAGCTTTTCGATTGACAGTTTCCTCCTTCCTGAAAACTATTTTATTGCATAATCAATAAAAAGAAGTATAAATGAGAAAAAAAGAAAAGAATTCAGTTTTAGTTTATTTCTCGCTCTTTCCCAAGAGTGTTTTGGTTGATGCCTGTTGGTTATCCACTTTTATGAAGTACCTTATGGGAAATTATGATGAAATCGTGTAGATACCCAGTGGTTACGGTTTATGACACTCAGCCATATCAGTCAACTTTGCTAACTGTCATATCTGTCATTCCACGGTGCGCCCTTTGATTGGCTGCGTTTTGTGTCCTCGTCGTCTCATTGAATTTTATGGTTGTCTCCATGTCAAACACGTTCCGGACCCATACCTACTCTCGTCAGGATCTGCCAAGATTGAATCTGGTAATTCTGTGCCTCATACAAACGATATGCTTGGAGAATATGGCAATCATGCTTGGATCAAGAAGCACGAGCGTGCTGGATGGCAGTGTGCGCTTAATAGCACCCCTCCTGCCAAGATGTTCGTGCCGTCAATGGTCAGTACCAACGTTCGCTCTTTTCTCGCAAAGATCTCGGATTTACCTTCCTCACTGAACACACGCATCCATTCCAACACATGTGTTGTACGCATACAAGAAACCTGGTTAAATCAAAACGTTGAGGATGCTCTCGTGCAAATAGATGGTTTCAACTGTTACCGGCAAGATAGACAACACAGCAGGAGGAAAACTGGAGGCGGTGTGGCAACGTATATCAACACTTCTTGGTGTGGCAACTCTGAAGTGGTTTCCAGCTATTCTGAAAAATCCATCGACTCTTTATCCGTTCGTTGTCATCCCAGATTTTCCCGATATAAAAGTACAATTATTACTAATGTTTATATACCTCCTTCGTGCTCCCAAGCAGATATATCTTCTTTCTTTGATCATTACATCCCGTTTTTGGTTCCAATATTAGATCATATTCTTCATTTGGCTGTTGGTAACTTCAACCATGCAAGCATTTTCCCTCTGCTTTTTTTGGGGTTTTCTGATTTATCTCATTCTCCTACCAGAGGCAGCTCTATACTTGACCGGGTAATCACAAACCATCCCACTTTGTTTTCGCTCAAACTGATGGCCCCAGTCGCTACCAGTTATCACTGTATTGTCCTCTTAAGACCAAAGAGATACTCCCGCTCTACATATCTAACATTCATACGATCAAACCAGATAAGGTTTCATTTCCGTAACTTTTCATCAACCCGCATTTCTCTTCTCTGTCGTTCCATAACGGTTGCCCAATCTTGATTTGCTTCTTGTTCATCACCTCTTAACTGTGTCAGTCTTTTCACCGAAACGATGAAATCAATTTTCCATTTTTGCTGTCCCATGGAAACGCCGTTTGTTTGCAACGCAAAATCGCATCTCCTCACTTGAATTCACTACGAAGGCAAAATGAACAATCCTATAAATCTCACCATCCATTTGCTGTAAAGTACTATTCTAATTAATTAAGGCTGAGATAACAAGCTGGAACAAGACATTCGCTTCCCAAATCCTGCAAACGAAAAACACAAAGCTTCTAAGGCGAGGAATTCGTCTTCTCTGCGGACAAAAAAGGAAAACTGTGAACAGTGATGTTGATGTAAACAACCTTAACGCTGCATTTCTTTATTCGTCTAACGAAACCCAGATACCCTCTTTCACATGTGAGATTTCCAATTCTGATCTGTTCCCTTTTTCTAATGATGAATTTTTTAAGCTTCTACGTTCCTTCAAACCATCGTCATCTGCGGGCCCTGATGGTTTTTCTCTAGCGTTTCTCAAGTTGGGAGTAGCCCCTCTAACTAGTATGATGACATTCCTCATCAACTAGTCTCTTTCTTCCCAGATAATCCTCGCTTCCTGGCTACCAGTGACCATAATATCTGTTCCAAAGACCTTATCCTCAACCGTTCTTGCTAAACGTTTTCGTTCCATCGCATTGACGTCTGTAGTTCTAAAGTTGACTGAGAAAGCCATCCTGAATTGCTTACAGTCACTTGTCACCATTCCCCGTGGTCCTCTTCAGTTCGCGTTTAAACTCAACAGATCCACTTTGGATGCTGTATCTACTCTGGTCCATTTTATAAGCAAGTCATTGAACAGCTCTGCCAAATCTGTTTGTTGCGTTTTTCTCGATTATTCGTCTGCTTTTGATTCTGTATCTCGGTCATCCCTCCATTTTAAACTTAAATCTTTTGGCACCCCGAGACAGCTGCTTTAATGGCTTTCCGATTATTTCACCTAAAGAACCCAGTGCTTAAAGGTGGATAGGAATACCTCAAGTTCTCTAGTCAATAATTCTGGTGTGCTTCAAGGTGCTGTCCTTTCTCTGTATCTTTTCTCTGCTTTTATTAGTGACCTTTCAGTTCCACACCCTGCTCATATCCAAAAGTATGCTGACGATGTCGCTTTATGTCAAACCGTTCCTTCTTCTTCGGACTTCTCTTCCTTCACTGAAAATCCGTCCCGAATCGAACAGCTTTCAAACGAATCTGGCCTTAAACTTAACACATCCAAGTGCTTGGAGTGCATTTATAGTTCTTCCCGCTCTACATTTCCGTCACACTCTGTAACCCTTAATAGTAACCTTTTGTCTAGAGTGACCTCAGCTAAATATCTGGGTGTTACTATTGATAATAATCTTCGGTGGTCGACACACATTCAGAACTGTATGGGAAAACTTCGGCACCTCTCCTTTCAGCTCCGAAAATTTCGCACTCCCCAACAAGTTTTGTTCTCCTTGTTAAACAATGCGTTTTCCCTATTTTACTTTACTGCTCCCCTGTAGTGTTTCCCGGTCTATTGAAACAAGACTTTAAAACTGTCCGTCTTGGATTAATGATAATAGGCCATCCATCTTTAATTTCTGCCGAGTTATTAATCACAGAGCTTATTAATGGTCATATGTATGACCCTTGCCAATAAGATTTCCCACCCATCGTTTGCATTCTGACTTATCTTCTTGTCACTCCTCATTGATAACTCCTTTCTCTTGTCGGTACTTACCCTCCCGAACAAACATTTATAAAAACTCCACTTTACCGTTTCTGGCTCGCATCTTGACCAACAAGGAACGAATTATAAATGAATTACGTCAATCTTTAATTGGATAAATCAAACTTTGGAGATATTTATTTTTTTACACAGCACTCTGGTGTGACGACCAGTGTACAAATACAAATCTCCCGATCTCGAGGTCCCCGACCTAACACGACCTTTTCTGATCGTGTCACTTGGTCAGGGCTTTCACTGCCTGATAACAGGTCGTAGTTCGACCACCTTCAACTTTCTTCCATCCACTATCTGCCTAGACGAACATTACATATCTTGGCAGTCTGCTCAATGCCATGCATCATTATGATCATCGTACAGCGAAATACAGGGAGGCGAGCTTCATTGATCGTTGCCGAACTAGCAATGTATGCAATGTTAGCGGTAAAAATTAGGGTGGACAGGGATTGGATCTATTTTGAGAGCGAGAGGGGAGAAGGCAAACCTCTATGGCTAACGCACAGATTGTATAATCGAATTCTGCATACATACCGCTTCAAGCATTCCGGACTGATAAGAAATGACAACAATAGCGTCACCACTGTCGGCTCGCTGCCATGTCCTTCAATGTCTCCAACTCACCGATTATTTAGTCTCTCCATCGCCAAACTGGAAGGCCAGAGATACCTACTGTACCTAATGGCTCTGTGCACTTCTTCATGCCTCGTTTTTACGTCATCTGTTGATTTCTACCTACTTTCCTTCAGCCCGGATTACCTACAGCGAATACAGCGCGGTGCGGCAGACGATCTAAATTCGATGTTTTTGCACGTTTACCCCTCTAAACTCCCTAACACACGACGACTTACCTCCACATTACTAACCCGTTCGCTCCATCCCACATGGGCTAAACTACTGAAACACCGATAATTGAAAACTTCAAGTCAATGGATATCTTTTACTTGCGAATTCAAGGTCTCACAATCATAAAGTATCACTGAACGGACGCTAGCACAATATACACGACCTTTCAACTTCAGTGAAACGTTATGTTTATGCCGGAGGTATTTCATTCCTGCGTGTGCTGCTCCAGCCTTGGAAATGCTGTCGGTTAACTTCTTTGCTGCGTTACCGTCAGTGGTCACGTAACTACCTAAATAGGAAAAGTAATCCACCATAACTAAATCCTGGCCATTTAGTGTCAGGGTGGGAGTAGACGAAACCCAGTCCTGCAGCATCACTTTGCACTTTGAAGGTGCAAAACACATACCGAATGTGGCAACAGCACTTCTCCAGTATTACATCTACGACGAAATTGAGCAGGAACGGTGAGAGAGGGCACGCTTGGCGAACGTCGCTGTTGGTGACGAACGGCCTGCTTAGTTCGTTGTAAACCCTTACATGACCGGAGGTGTGTGAGTTCAGTAACCTCAGTAGGTTAACGTTCTTCTGGGGCGTTCCTTTTCTAAGAAGGGAACTCATCAGAGCTTCGTGGTCAATTGAGTCGAAGGCTCCTTTCAGTTCAAGAAACACTGAAATCGTTGGTCAACGGTGGGGTGACGCCGATCAAGAACCTAACGCAACTTAAAAATTTGATCAATACATCCACGGCCAGGCCGGAATCCGGCTTGCTGTTCACGAATGTTAGTCTCTCTTAAAGGCGTTAGACGTCGAAGTATAACTGAATCTAGCATTTTGGTGACGATCGGGATCAAACTAATCCCGCGGTGGTTTTCACAGTTGTCGCGACATTCTTTCTTGAAAATGGGAACGATCAGTGATTCGCCCCAAGATGAAGGAATGTGCTCTTGCGTCCCAATGTTGTGCAGTAGGGTAGCTTAATAATAAAGCTTAGTAATAAAGTAATAAAGCTTACAAGGTTGTCGTCCCCCATATTGAGAAGAGTGGGAGGGAGCTCATTCGGTCCTGCTGCCTTTCCTCGCTTTAGAGCTTGAATGAAAGACCTAACTTTGCTCCTGCTGGAGGATCGCACGATTCTGCCCACGGAGCTTCAGTTACAGATGAGGCAGCCTGGTAAGTGCTAGGCCATCTGAACTGTTCGCCGAAGTATTCGGCCCAGCGATCAAGTCACTGNCAGCCTGGTAAGTGCTAGGCCATCTGAAATGTTCGCCGAAGTATTCGGCCCAGCGATCAAGTCACTGATCCCTATTGTGAATAGCTTGTCCCCTTTTATCGCTGATTGTTTCACTAGCCAGGGTTTGTTGACTTCCCGTATTGCGTATCAGTCGGAAAAGTCTTTAACTATTCCCTGATGCAGCTGCTACTTCCATTTCACCAGCTATGGTGACCAACAGTTCTTACGGTCCTTCTTGAGGCTCTTCGTGAGCTGACTTTGTAGATGCCACTAACTCTATTTTGATCCTGGTAGGTCATAACCTGTCGTTTTTTCTCCATCAAAATGACAGACTCCTAAACTATCCAATGCCTCCGACGGGCAGACTCACAAGGAACATTCGCTACGGAGTGCATTGCTCGCTTGTCTGATCCCGCTGCTTATCTACATCATCAGATTGAGGCACGCTTAACTCACACTAGCTCTGACTCATAGAGTCCACGAACTGCTGGAACAGATAATCGATGATGAGCTATACGAGTTTGCTGAATTCGTCGCCCGTCACTTGTCCCCTTTTATCGCTGATTGTTTCACTAGCCAGGGTTTGTTGACTTCCCGTATTGCGTATCAGTCGGAAAAGTCTTTAACTATTCCCTGATGCAGCTGCTACTTCCATTTCACCAGCTATGGTGACCAACAGTTCTTACGGTCCTTCTTGAGGCTCTTCGTGAGCTGACTTTGTAGATGCCACTAACTCTATTTTGATCCTGGTAGGTCATAACCTGTCGTTTTTTCTCCATCAAAATGACAGACTCCTAAACTATCCAATGCCTCCGACGGGCAGACTCACAAGGAACATTCGCTACGGAGTGCATTGCTCGCTTGTCTGATCCCGCTGCTTATCTACATCATCAGATTGAGGCACGCTTAACTCACACTAGCTCTGACTCATAGAGTCCACGAACTGCTGGAACAGATAATCGATGATGAGCTATACGAGTTTGCTGAATTCGTCGCCCGTCAGTTAATCGGAGAGTGAACTGCATCAAAACTGTGTGGGCAGACTCAACGCAGGTGGTCCAATAGAACCTGCAATTTTGCACTGAACCACGCCAACGGTAACTTGCTGCTATACGGTCGATTTCAGTTAGCGTACCAGTTGAACTGGAGCGCCACGTTGTCGTCCATCGAGAGCTATGTCGGAAGTTGATGCTTGATAGGAACAGATCATGGTCTGGGCAGAACTGAAGAAGTCGATCTCCATTATCTGTTCGTTGGCTGGGCAGAGCACAACTACTGCCTAGGCATGCTTCTGATGCGCTCAGTTTTCCAACTTGCGCGTTGAAGTCACCTGCAAGTACAACTATGTCGGAGCTTCGACTCGTCCGAATGAGACTGGTGAGTTCATCGTAGAAAGCGTCCTTTTGGGTATCAGAACTGCAATTGGTCAGTGCATACGCTGATACGATGAACAAACACCTTTTGATGTTGCTTCCCTTCCGGACGCTGATTGAACCCTGGAGATGCACTGCACATAAATGACTGTTGACGGGGATCCAAACCAGTTGCTTAGTACAATGCTTACCCCGCGCTGACCTACTGAACGAGCTTCATCGTCGCCTGATGTGCAAAGAACATATCTCGAAGACAAATCTGGCACGCTCAAGTGGCTTATAGTAGTAGGATCCTGGATTCGAGTTTCCGACACGCAGAAAATATCGATTCCTAAGGATTCCATTATACCATCTAGACAAGCTTGTTGAACTACCTGTATGAAAGTTCTCAGGTTGAAGGCCCCCAGATTAAGTGATTGACGAGGCTTTAGAATCCGCAATTCACTTCGTGGTTCAATACAGTGCTATTTGGCAACGCCCTTTGGCGGAAGACATCCAGGTTGCCTGAGGGACTATTACAGATTGGAAGAAGGGGTAAAGGGAAGGAGTTGGGTACGGAAGAAAAAGAGTTAAGCAAAGGTTGGGATATCTGAGCAGTATCCACTTATCACTAACCACCCCGCTCGGCATGACAAGATCTCCTGGCTTGACAAAAGCCATCCTGTCTAGCTCGTTGGATCACAGAGCTGCACAAGCCATCACCCCATGTCAAAGTGCAGTCTCGTCGTCATGGGCATGCATATTGTGTCTCAGTCAACGTGATCTACGGAAATCGGATACTTGCTCCTCTGCGAAACTCCGATCATCTAAACTTCTGCGCCTAACCTCAACGTTATCTGTTCGGTTGCCCCACCAAACTTGTGCAATATAGCGCATACAGCAGTTTCTGAACACTGATTGTCTATTCAGATGGTGAATGTTTGGATTAGCCCATTCGGATTCTCACAGGCACTAGGCACTGTTGGTGATGTTGCTGTACCAGCCCAGTCTGGTGGCAACAATTTACACCTTGAATGAGACAAACGCATACAGAACATAGAAACAGTACCACTCAAACTCTCCAAAAAAGCCTTTAGCTGATCTGTAACTTCACTGAACAGTACAATACATCTCCATGTCCCGTAACTTTTGCATTTCAACTTGTCCGAATAGCATTTCAAGATGTCCGCGCATCATTTCAAGATATCTCAGTATGATCTCAAGCTGCCGCACTGATCTCATCGGCGCTGACAGGCCCATGTACTGTTCAAGCCTTCAAGCGATGTCTGGATGGATGACCAGGCAGCACAAATTTGTCACCTTCCCATTGAGGCGCGTACGATCCAATTGTGAGACGTGACTTGGTCATGCCCTCTCCAATACCCATGACATGCCTTGGGTGTTTACGCTTACGCGTCTGTTTGTGTGTATGTTCATCCTCCTTCCCCTAGATCAATGACTATCCGAGATTAAATGGTTTCCGCTATCCTAACATGTAGACACAACTACTTCCAGAATCACATTCATCAAGAGTGAAACTTCTGCACTGTTTTCGAATTTAATTCCGTTTATCTGCATCTGTTCTGATTGTTGGTTGATAGTTGTTCTGGCATTGTTAAACACGTTGTCTACGATCGTCAATTATGTAAATATAGTGAACTTCATATTCTTAACATAGCAGATTGAAAAATTATCACTTTTACGGGTTACAGGCCGACTGGGCAAATGAATGCAGGCGCACATCTGTTTCCACGATTCCGGAAAGTATGCAAATGGATGGGACGATACCGATGTCCAATGGTCCGGAAACAAATGCCACCACCGCACCCGTTAGGAATTCCGCAGTGATGCGGAATGAGGAGGGGGATGCAAAAGGTCAGATGATCACCATGGACGACGAACGAGCCGCGTGGGAACAACTACGTTTACAAGTCAGTTATTTTCGGTTGTTGTTGTTATTATATATACCATTTACATAATTTTCTATATTCATTCCATGTGAATTTCACAATAATCCATATCAATTTCGAAGCCACTTCGTTTATATCATAATCCATGAGCTGGGAATAATACTAATACCAATATTTCTCTTCAGTCAAGAATATGGGTTATCACAAAGCTACCAGATAATGAATGAGGAAGTGTAATGAAGATGATGAGTGTCGAAATCACACAAAAATGAGATGGTGGGATGACAGCCTGAACCACCGCAATCCAGAGGTTCTTATCTGTAAAAAAAATCAAAACATACTTGATGTTACACATTTGTCGATCAAAATGGGGTCAACAGACGCTCATAAGCAAAACCACTTTTATCCGAGTGCTTCACACAAGCGAATCTAGGAAACAGGCAGCATGGACTAGAAGTACGAGAAGTACTGGAAGTATATCAAAAACCTATCATCCATGGTGAATATGTTTGCTATTCAGCTTCCTTAAATACAGGTTCGGAAATCGGAAAATGATTAAAGAGATCTCAACTGACTGTGGCTAACTGATTCTTGGTATGCCAGTTCGGGCCTTGTTTTTAAAGAAATGGAAATGCAATAAAAATCAACTTTTTATAATCCATATCAAATACGCGCCTGAACCATATGGCCAGAGAGACCAAGAACAATCCAAAGCTGGCTTTGTGTGCACTTACAGAGTAGTTGGCAGTAATTCTAACCTGATTCATGGTTGATCAGGCTCAAGCTCGGATTTATTAAGTTTCTCCGAATATGTCATCCCAAACTATCCTCTAGCTTGACGATCATCCAAACACATTTTCATCTATCGTTGGGCCCAGGTGCATTTCCTTCCTTTTGAGAAGTAAAGACTTGGATAGTGAATCATTGTCTGACAAATTTCATCACATACCTACGGTTGATATTTGAGCTAAAGTGATACAGGTTGTGAGAGCCATGAAGGACAGACCAGTTTGTTCACGTGGTCCGATAAAGTCCTATTCCAGTCAAGGCAGGGTCACCGAGTCATGACTATGAACGACTGGTGAATCCTAATCAACAGTGAACTTTTTTGCATGGTTAATCCGAATTTGCAGTCCCTGNGCAGTCCCTGTATTGTGATCTTGTGTGATTTCTACCTGCTATAAGTTCATTGACTCCCCGCATGATAGTGTCTTAATGCGATTTGTGTGATGACCAAGAAAGAACACCAAACATTACAAGCACAATGTCCAAGTCCTGAAGTCATTTCTTATAGGCAACACAACATAAATATTTATTTTGTTTATTCAAGTTTTTACTGTTGACTCTCATCTGCGCGGTTCGTGGCTAACGGTTTCAAATTCCAATTCGAAGGTACATGGTTTCAGTCCCGATAGGGATAGAAACGCAATCCGCATTATTGATTATCAGTCCCCCAGTCATGTATTGTTGTTTGCTTCAACACATCATTTTATTAATATGAGCTGCATACAATTCTTTTCAACCTATGGTTATTTTGGGATCATATTTGTAAGCATTAGTGTGTGTATGTGTATTTGCGTATGTGTGCACTTTTTCAGGGTCTAAATTTTTACAGTTGAAGTGACCATTGCAATCACGGTCTTCACAGCTTTTCATCGGAAAGAGCAGCAAGTTGATCATGAGTAGTACATACCTTTGAGGCTCTACACCCGAAGTCATCAATCATAAGTAGCGTACCCATGAAGAAAATGAAGGCACTGTTTTGCTTGTTAAAAATTGTCATACACGTCTCACCAAAAAATTTACCAATTGTGTTCCGTACAATTACATCAAACAAACTGTCCTCTTTTTAATCCAGTGGGAGTCAAAAACAAAAGAAAAAGACAAGGAAATCACTCAGTTGAAGGACAAAATAAAACAACTGGAAAACGATTTAAAAGAATTGCGTAACAAACGCGAGTTTGAGATGAAAGTGGATCAGCGTGTGAAGACACTGCAAAGGGAGAACGAGGTTTTGCTTGAACAATATCGTACGGAGGTTTTACTACGACGAAAATATCACAGTCAAGTGGAGGAGTTGAAAGGAAAAATCCGTCTGTTTTGTCGTATCCGGGCTCCAAATCCAACTGAATTGAGCAAAAAAGCGACAATTGTGACCCAAATACCGGACGAGCATACAGTCATGGTTCGCTCCGGGAAAGAGTCCAAACTGTTCCCCTTTGATCGGGTATTTGGTGCGAATTGTAATCACGAACAATTCATGGCCGAAATAAGCAATCTGGTTCAGGCTGCTATTGACGGATACAATGTGGGCATCTTGGCATACGGGCAGGCCGATACAGGACGAAGTTACACCCTGGTCGGTGATCAACGGGATCCGGGAATCATTCCACGCATCTGTATGGAAATTTTCAACCGAATGGAACAGCCTAACTTCAAGTAAGTTAATTTCACCGGACATTTAACTGGAAGCACTCATTTGAACATGCCAACGAAACGTTTAGATCAGAAATTCGGGAAAAATCACTTTACAACAGTTCCGATGGCACAGCGATAAGATTTATCTCTCTCTCTCTCCTCTTGCAACCGGTTCTCGATCACGGATGATAAGACTGTTGTTCAGAATAAATGAGTTTGATCGCTAACAACCGTATCCAATGATTAGGAAACAGAGAAGCACAGAGAGACAGAGTGATGAGTCAGGTAAACAGGTAGAATTTTGTTCGCTCAGTGCTCAGAATTGTGCCACGATCTTCATTGAACGAATCCACGAAATATTTGCCTGGCATAATTCAACTTTCTGAATATAAAAAATGACACATACGGAAAGAAGACTAAAGTGATGAACAGGCGCATTTTCGGTGCTTCGTTTAGTGGCGAATCAATCATTATTTATGTGGAAAAAAGATTACATGCAAACTGAAGAAAATTTTCTCTTTCTGGAGCGGAAGTTGCTCACACTTCGGTAATCGTGAATATGCATCATCTCTAATCCTGAGATGATAGGAGATGATGACTGTTACGGAACAACAAAATTTCCAAAGATCTGTTTTTGGAACTGTACGACAAACGCTATACCACTTGAACTGCAGTCTCACACAGACAGTTCCAAATATTTTCCATCAATCAGCATGTAAGCCGTCTACTCTGGCAGGTTTTATCAGCTGGTAGGTGACTTCCATGTGCGAATTCAAGTCCCGCTGGAACGCCCAATTTTGCGCAATTCAAACAAGGATAATCGTAACTGGAATAGGTGGCTTCTCGGTACCTATTGGTATTTTCCGGCAGCCCATCACAACTTCACTAACTTCAGAGGAACTTACTCAGTACATTGACACCGAATGCGATAAAGTTGATCTTGAACGTCCTTTACTATTTATTTATGTCATGAATTTAAAAAAGCATTTATTTTTCCATGTTTTTTTATCGTGAAGTTTTCATAATTTCCCATAAAAATACCAAAAATACACTTTATTATGAAAAACAAATGGTTCTTTGTATACTTTTCGGAACAAGAAATTTTCTGACGGTCGATCAGAACCTATCCCCAAATAATAACCTTATTGCTTTGTTGTCTTTCAGGCAGTCGTTTGTTTATGATGTGTCAATCAACATGTACGAACTGGCCAATGACAAGGTGACAGATCTACTTACCACGACTCCAGCAACCCTGGTTAGTTTGTTACGAGAACCGTTTCTAACCGTACTTGACAAGTAGCGTAAATCGAACAAAACGTCAAGTGGACAACAGTGACACCACTAGAATGGATCAGTAGTGTAATGTCAGTTGGGTTTTTTCTATTTGAATATTCTTTTCCAAACCCAGCTTAGTCGCGTTAAATAGTTTTTTTTTATTACACACATTTGTGTGGTGAACGGCTGACAGAGCAAAACCCATAGTCACGACCTGCTGCTCCGTCATGGAAACCGGTAACCTAAGCCCCGAAACTTGAAGTGGCAAACCACATAAGCCCCCGCTAGGTTAGGCGTGGTATTGAACTGGACGACAGCAAAGCCGTCTACCACCAAAGTTGGATGGCGGTGACGGGGCTTGAACCTCGGACCACAGGGTCCAAAGCACGCCAGTGACAGCGAATAAACCACTGCGTCACCACCACCCCATATTGTAATACTTCATAGATTTCGAGAGGCTTATGAATTCATTCAAGTTGTGAAAATTACAAGATCCTGAGTAGGATTTGGAACCATTCATCAATAGCAGTGCCCATATCTTTATTTGTGCATCGTGTGCTCAGCTTTTGCACCACAACTGTCGCTCTGATCGAATCACATCTGTTGTGGCCTGCAGTCGAGTGAAACGTTTACCGCACATCACGTGACCGACCGTAGCAACCTGCCCCCCACACACGCACTTCATGCGGACTTCTGTTACAATGTCGATCCGCCTCAGTGAATCAGAGGTCAACATTAACCTGTCCGCATTGATTGGTTCGCTGACTGCCCAACTTGATGACATACTGCTTTTTGTAACGGTTGCACCAATTTGGTGTCTGCTTGTCTACGTGTTAACGCAATGCTTGCTCACCGGCTACGTTTGCGTTTACATACTGAAAATAGAATAACCGCTTGTATGCTTATTGACTTATACGGGTTACGTCTTTAGTAATAGTGCAAACTGATGGACACATCAAACAGTATGTGAACTGACCGACACCGCCATAGTATCAACAGAATTCCATCAGATGAACTTTGGGATGGAGCAAATCGTCTGATTTGTTTTTGGAACATTTTGGGAGACGTGGTTTGTTTATTGTAATGTAAAAACGTATGCATCAATTATACCCTCTTACTTCGACACCTCGCTTAAGCATTTATTCCATCACTTGTGCAAGAAACATTAAAACATTTTAAAATTTAAAATTCTAGCACTACCTACTTGAAAGCTATCGTAAATCTCATTACTACTGATTTTGAGTTGTTCGAGGATAGCGTCGCGTTGTACAGATTGACACTTGCATAAATCACGTTAATTATTTCAAAGGCAGTCAAACAGCATGTTTGTTGGCTCGCTTGTGAATTTACAAACCTCCTCGCTAGTTTTCCATACTTTTTCCAATTTTCTTTTCAGGAGCAGGCCGAAATTACCAAAGACAATAATGGATTGTTACACGTTCAAGGATTAACCAAGTTAACTGCATACTGTAGCGCTGAGTTGCTGGAGTATTTTCATAAAGGAAATTCTTTCCGGGCCGGTCATCGTAAGCTGCTTGAGAGCTGCATTGCCACAATCATTCTTATAATTTGCCGCCCATCTATTTAAAAGCCTTAAACATCAAAATCCAGTGCAATAATTATTTTCAATGCAAAAGATATCCTTCCAGGGAATCCGCAAGAGGTAGTATCATGATCACAAAATGTGTTGAATTATGATAAATTTCGTGGTGATCCCATTAGCTGTGTTCATGCATTTTGATTGACTGAGAGAAGTAGCACAGTACAAAACGGGTCATTGCAAGAACAATGATAGTAATAATGATACCTCCCAAAACGATTCCTATTGTATCCTCAGTTACCTTCTCGCGTATGCTACCTTCGTTCATGTGTTTCTGGTAATAAGAACATAAAATACATTGAGCAACAACCGTCTACTAGGATTTCGAGAATGTATCAAAGTATTCGGTATCAAACGAGTGCAGGCGTCCGTCAAGTGCAATCGCATGTCACCTCTGAGATCGCGGCAAATGTGAGAACCTTGAAAACGCCACGTATCATTATTCTTCAGAAGAGTAGCCGTTTACTACGGTTCACTGAAGGGGCTGTTGATCGACGTTATGATCTCTACCTGTGTAAGCAGGTCGATTTTGTGACTAACCTAGAGACGCCGGGGTCAATGAAACTGCCTTACGCCGCTGCGATTAGGCTCCCTGACCTTATGCCCGATACGGCTCGGGGTTTAACGACCTTTTCCCTCTGAACTGATTTCTCCTCCCCACGTTTGTCTACTTACTTTGAAGCTTGGCACTCCTGCAACCCAACCGTAATCCCAATGTACGCCAATGATACCATGAAATTGTTCAAGTCGGTACATTCTGTGATTGTAGTGCGTCTTCTCGCTCTCATCAAAATATTGAAGAAACCTTTTTGCATGTATTTGCTAAATACATTAAGACGCAGTCGTTTTGTTATGTGGTTCGAGAAAGCCCATAACAAAAATGCATTAAGTGACCATCAGTGTATAACTCNAAGAGTTCTCATTGATTCCTTTGATTAATACAAGTATTTGGCTCTGTTTTCATGCCCTTGGGTATGAATTCCACTCCTTAGAGGTTCACAATACATTCCCAATTAGTTACCAGAAAATTAATTTTATGCTAACACATTTCTTTCTAATTTCGTCTTCAGGAAATTTTGTGTGAAAGCCACCTGGGAGCATTCACCAGAAACGGTTGTTTCATCCTTCCGAAAAGTGATCAGCAGACTTTCCCAAGCGGCCCTAAGCAACGGGTCTACGAAGGGCAGATATGGAACAAATAGAATCAGTGTTGGTTACCATGATG